AATTTGGTTTAAAGTGTAATTCAACTACAGTATTTCTTTATTAATTTTCTGTCTAGTGAATTCTATCTATTGTTGAAAGTGGGGTACTAAAGTCCCCTTTTATTATTACATTGCTATCTATTTCCCTTGATATCCATTAATGTTTGCTTTATGTCTTTAGCTGCTCTAATGTTGGGTGTATATATTTTTATAATTGTTATATCCTCTTGACAAATTAACCCTTTTATCATTAAATAATGACCTGTTTGTCTTCTTATGACGGTTTTTGACTTAGAGTTTATTTTATCTGAAATAAATTGTCTTAGTCCATTTCGCACTGCTATGACAGAATACCACAGATTATTGAGTACTGTATCATGAATGAACATTTATTGGATTACAGTTCCAGTGGCTGGGAAACCCAATATCATGGTGTCAGCATCCTGCAAGGGCCTTCTTGCTGTGTCATCACATAGCACAAAAGGAAAAAGAGAGAGAGCAAGAGGGAGCCAAACTTTTCCTTTTATAATACCATCATTCTTACCCATGAGGGTAGACCCCCTCATAGCTTGATTACCACTTAAATGTCCCACCTCTTAATATTGTTACAATGGCAATTAAATTTCAGCATGAGTTTTAGAGGGGACAGCCATTCAAACCATAACATAAGTATAGCTCCTCTTGCGGAGTATCTTCTTTCATTTCTCTGCTTTCAACCCATATATGTTCTTAAAGCTCAAGTGGAAATCTTTTAGGTATCATATACTTGGATCTTGTTTTTTTATCCCTTCAACCACTCTATGTCTTTTGATAGAGAATTTAATCTATTTACATTCAAGGTTATTTTTGATAGGTAAGGACTTATTACTGCCATTTTGTTATTGGTTTTCTCTTTATTTTATAGACCCTTTTTTCCTTTATTCCCCTTTTGTTGACTACCTTCATAATTTGGTAATCTTCAATAGTGCTAAGTTTTGATTCCTTTTCATTTATCACTTCTGTATCTGCTGTAGTTTTTCTATTAATATTTATTATATTAATATGAGTCTTAACATAAAACATCTTATAGTTAAAATAGAGTTTTAAGATCATGAAAACTGAACTTTAGTTACATACAAAGACTCTAGACTTTTATTGTTTCAATTACAATTTCTATTGTTGGTGTCACAGTTTATATATTAAATTGTGCCTTAACAATTGTAGCTCTCATTATTTTTGGCTATTTTGAATGTTAGTTTTCATACTAGATATATACCTGATTTACAGAACACCTTATAGTTGGGAGTATTCTGAATTTCAATAGGTAAATACTTCTACTGGTGAGTTTTATATTTTCATACGTATTAATGATAGTAATTATCATCCTTTCATTTCTGCTTGAAAACCTCCTTTAAGCATTTCTTGTAAGGTAGGTCTTTTTCCCCTCTGCCTGGATAATTTCAAAAGACCTATCTTTAAGTTCACAGATATGGTTTTTTTCTGCTTGGTCTAGTCTTATGTTGAAGTTCTCTGTTTTTGTTTTCATTCACTGAATTCTTCAGCTCTGAAATTTGTTTGGTTATTTTCTATGTCTACTTCTTTGTTGAACATCTCATTCAGTTCATTAGTTCTTTTTCTGATTTCATTGAATTGTTTCTCTGTATTTTTTCTTTTCCTTTTTTTTTGTATCTAGTTGAGTTTCTTTAATATCATTATTTTGAATTTCTTTTCAGGTGATTTTTATCAATTTCCATTTCTTGGAGTTAGTTATTGGAGAATTATTGCATTCCTTTGGTGATAGTATGTTTCCTTGTTTTTTCATGTTTCTTGTGTTCCTGCATTGTATTTGTGCAATAAGTAGAACAGTCAGCTCTACCAAACTTTACAGAATGGCTTTTCATAAGGAAAAACTTTCACCTGTAGGTTGCTCCAAAAGTACTGGCTGGGCAAGGTATGGAGTGGTATAGTCTCTATACAGATCTTCAGCTGTGGCCAATATCAGTGGTGACTATGGCTGCCTCAGTGGTCTAGGTTGCAAGGAGTTTGTGGCAGCAGCAGCAGCAGTGTAGGTAGTTAGGGTCCTCGGTTTCAAGGGCCTTTCAAATGTAATTTTAATCAGGAAGTGTGAAGGCTCAAACTTGGTTTTTCTTTCTCAGTACTTTGGCTATTCAAATTTTAGGGTTTGTTTTTTTTCTATTTCTATGAAGAATGGTATTCATGTTTTGACAGGGATTGCAATGAATACATGTATTGCTTTGGTAGTAAGATATTTTAACAATATTAATTCTTCTGATCCATGAGCACAGGATATTTTTCCATTTTTTTGTGTGTCTTCAACTTCTTTCATTAATATCACATATATTTCAGTGTGCAGGTCTTTGACCTCCTTAGTTAAGTTTATTTCTATTTTATATTTATTTTATTTTTTGATGCAATGGTAAATGGGATTGTTTTCTTTATTTCTTTTTCAGCTAGGTCATTATTTGTGTATAGAAATGTTACTGATATTTGTACATTGATTTTGTATCCTTAAACTTTACCAAATTTGTTTATTAGTTCTAATAGTTTCTTTTTACAGTCTTTGGGGTTTCTACATACAGGATTGTGTCATCTGGAAAAGGAGATAATTTTAATTCTTCCTTTCCTATTTGTATGCCATTATTTCTTTTGCTTTTCATATTGCTCTTGGTAGCACTTTTAATACTATGTTGCACAAGAGTGGCAAGAGTGGGCATCTTTGCCTTGTATTTGGTCTTAATGGAAAAGCTTTCAGTTTTTTCCTGTTTGTTATAATGCTAGCTGTGAGTTTATCATAAATTGCCTTTATTATGTTGAGTGACTTTCCTTGTATACCTAAACTGTGGAGAGTTTGTATCAGGAAAGAATGTTAAACTTTCCTGAATGTTAAATGTAAAATGCATTTCTGTATCATGAGATGATGATGTTTTTATCTTTCATTCTGTTAATATGATGTATCACATTGATTTGTGTATGTTAAACCAGCCTTGCATGCCAGGGATAAATCCCACTTGGTCATGAAGTATAGTATTTTTTACATGTTGTTGAATTCAGTTGGCTAATATTTTATTAAGAATTGTTGCATCAATATTAATCAGAGATATTGGATTGTAGTTTTCTTTTTATTGTGATGTCTTTGGCTTAGATAGCAGGATAAGGCTGGCATTACAAAGATGTGTTTGAAACTGTTCCCTTCAGCTCTATTTTTTGGCAGTGTTCAAGAAGTATTGGTATTAATTCTTCTTTGAATGTTTGGTAGAATTCAGCATTGAGTCCATCATGTTCTAGGTGCTTCATTGGCGAGAGGTTTTTAATTACTTCTTCAATCTTTTTATTTGCTATTGGCCAGTACAGGCTTTCTATTTTTTCATAATGCAATGATGATAATTTTTATTTTTCTAGGAATTTATCCATTTGCTCTACATTATCCAATTTGTTGGCATATAATTGTTCATAATAATCCCTTATGATCCTTTTAATTTCTGAAACATCTGTTCCAATGTTTCCTCTTTCATTTTTTGTACAAATCTTATCTTTTTTCTTAGCTTAGTTAAGTTTTGTCAATTTTGTTTATTTTTTCAAAAAACCAACTTAGTTTTATCTTTTCCCAGGGTTTTTCTATTTTCCATTTTATTTATTTCTGTTCTGATCTTTATTATTTCCTTTTTTCTGCTAACTTTAGGTTTAGTTTGTTCTTTTTCTAGTTCTTTGAATGCTACTGTTAGTCTATTTATTTGGAAACTTTGTTCTTTTTTAATGTTGGCATTTATTGCTATAAACTTCCTTCTTAGTATTACTTTTTCTGCATCCTATAAATTTTGTTATGTTGTGATTCCATCATCATTTGTGTCACAACATTTTATAATTTCCCTTTGGGGATTTTGTTTATTTGTCTTAACCCATTGGATATTCAACAGCATATTGTTTAATTTCCATGTATTTATGAATTTTCTAAGATCTTTTTGGTTATTGATTTCTACATTTGTAATATTGTAGTCAGAAAAGGTACCTGATATGATTTCAACATTTGTAAATTTATTAGGACATGTTTTGTGGCCTGACACATGGTCTATGCTGGAGACTATTCCACATGTGCTACAAAGGGAAAGTGTATTCTGGTGCTATTGGACAAAACATCATGTATATGTCTACTAGGCCAATTTGGTTTAAAGTGTAATTCAACTACAGTATTTCTTTATTAATTTTCTGTCTAGTGAATTCTATCTATTGTTGAAAGTGGGGTACTAAAGTCCCCTTTTATTATTACATTGCTATCTATTTCCCTTGATATCCATTAATGTTTGCTTTATGTCTTTAGCTGCTCTAATGTTGGGTGTATATATTTTTATAATTGTTATAGCCTCTTGACAAATTAACCCTTTTATCATTAAATAATGACCTGTTTGTCTTCTTATGACGGTTTTTGACTTAGAGTTTATTTTATCTGAAATAAATTGTCTTAGTCCATTTCGCACTGCTATGACAGAATACCACAGATTATTGAGTACTGTATCATGAATGAACATTTATTGGATTACAGTTCCAGTGGCTGGGAAACCCAATATCATGGTGTCAGCATCCTGCAAGGGCCTTCTTGCTGTGTCATCACATAGCACAAAAGGAAAAAGAGAGAGAGCAAGAGGGAGCCAAACTTTTCCTTTTATAATACCATCATTCTTACCCATGAGGGTAGACCCCCTCATAGCTTGATTACCACTTAAATGTCCCACCTCTTAATATTGTTACAATGGCAATTAAATTTCAGCATGAGTTTTAGAGGGGACAGCCATTCAAACCATAACATAAGTATAGCTCCTCTTGCGGAGTATCTTCTTTCATTTCTCTGCTTTCAACCCATATATGTTCTTAAAGCTCAAGTGGAAATCTTTTAGGTATCATATACTTGGATCTTGTTTTTTTATCCCTTCAACCACTCTATGTCTTTTGATAGAGAATTTAATCTATTTACATTCAAGGTTATTTTTGATAGGTAAGGACTTATTACTGCCATTTTGTTATTGGTTTTCTCTTTATTTTATAGACCCTTTTTTCCTTTATTCCCCTTTTGTTGACTACCTTCATAATTTGGTAATCTTCAATAGTGCTAAGTTTTGATTCCTTTTCATTTATCACTTCTGTATCTGCTGTAGTTTTTCTATTAATATTTATTATATTAATATGAGTCTTAACATAAAACATCTTATAGTTAAAATAGAGTTTTAAGATCATGAAAACTGAACTTTAGTTACATACAAAGACTCTAGACTTTTATTGTTTCAATCACAATTTCTATTGTTGATGTCACAGTTTATATATTAAATTGTGCCTTAACAATTGTAGCTCTCATTATTTTTGGCTGTTTTGAATGTTAGCTTTCATACTAGATATATGCCTGATTTACAGAACACCTTATAGTTGGGAGTATTCTGAATTTCACTAGGTAAATACTTCTACTGGTGAGTTTTATATTTTCATACGTATTAATGATAGTAATTATCATCCTTTCATTTCTGCTTGAAAACCTCCTTTAAGCATTTCTTGTAAGGTAGGTCTTTTTCCCCTCTGCCTGGATAATTTCAAAAGACCTATCTTTAAGTTCACAGATATGGTTTTTTTCTGCTTGGTCTAGTCTTATGTTGAAGTTCTCTGTTTTTGTTTTCATTCACTGAATTCTTCAGCTCTGAAATTTGTTTGGTTATTTTCTATGTCTACTTCTTTGTTGAACATCTCATTCAGTTCATTAATTCTTTTTCTGATTTCATTGAATTGTTTCTCTGTATTTTTTCTTTTCCTTTTTTTTTTGTATCTAGTTGAGTTTCTTTAATATCATTATTTTGAATTTCTTTTCAGGTGATTTTTATCAATTTCCATTTCTTGGAGTTAGTTATTGGAGAATTATTGCATTCCTTTGGTGATAGTATGTTTCCTTGTTTTTTCATGTTTCTTGTGTTCCTGCATTGTATTTGTGCAATAAGTAGAACAGTCAGCTCTACCAAACTTTACAGAATGGCTTTTCATAAGGAAAAACTTTCACCTGTAGGTTGCTCCAAAAGTACTGGCTGGGCAAGGTATGCAGTGGTATAGTCTCTATACAGATCTTCAGCTGTGGCCAATATCAGTGGTGACTATGGCTGCCTCAGTGGTCTAGGTTGCAAGGAGTTTGTGGCAGCAGCAGCAGCAGTGTAGGTAGTTAGGGTCCTCGGTTTCAAGGGCCATAGGAGTCATTGTGTTCTTGTTTTCCTCACAAGGAGAGTCTTAGCTGAAGGGTTCCCTCTCAGTGGCAGGTCTGACACAACCTACAAGTAGCTCCAGTGGTGCTGGGATCCAGGGCACAGGTGCTTGGAGCAACTATGAAGCCATGGTAGGGCTTAGGGTCTTAGAAAATTACTGTGGCACCTGAAACTTGACACACAGTTTCACTTTTTAAGGCATGGGTGGATGTTGATCACCCACAAAGCCAAAGTCTATGACTCTGAAGCACACTCTAGCAGCTCAGGACTAGGGGCATAGGGGTATAGGTATGACCCTGACTTTGGGGACCAGGGCACAGAAAAATCATGGCTCAGGAGGAAAAGTGTAATCTGGAGTTTGGGGCTTTGGAGACCAAGGCACATCTGCAATTCTCATCCCAAAGCTAACCAGGCACAGTGGCAACTTAAGTTCTAGGGGATTAGGTACAATAGTGGTGACTCTGGACCCTGAGATGGTGATACACAGCAGTATCCCAGGCTGGGAGACCAGGTGCAACAGGAACAAGGACCCAGAAATGGTGAGATACAGCTGTGGCTTGGGCCCTGGGTGGCAGGGAGCAGCTCAGTGTTGACCTCACTCCCTAAAGAGCCAGAAAGCCTCAGCAGCTTGGATGCTGGGGGGACTAGACCAGTTCTAGGGAAGTAAAGTGCTCTGGCTATTTAGCCTGGAGGGTGTGATGGCATAGCTCAGCCAAGGTACTGGTTCCCTGGCATGTGAGGCACTGTGTCAGCTCAGCCCCAGAAGGTGCAGCTACATGGGTCAACCCAGGCTCCAGTTCCTCAAGGAATGGAGCATTATATCAGCTCAATACTGTGGGTCACAACTGCTCTGCTAGGCAAGGTTCTGGGTCCCCAGAGGAGTGGGACACTGCATTTGCAGGGCATGGGGTGGGGATGTTGAGACACAACTGTTCCACTCAGCCTAGGCTGTGAATTCCTGGGGGCAGGCACTGCATCAGATCGAGTGCCGTAAAATTTGTCTTTTAAAATTCTGCATAATTTTTTTTGTTTGTTTCTTTACGGTAAGTTGAGCATCATCACTTGCTGTCAGGTATTATGGGTCAAAACTGTCTACCAGAACTCTCTGTCAAAATTAATGATAGAGAGTTCATAACAGAGTCAACAACATGCATTGCAAATTAAGGAGAGCACTGGATGTGTGGAGTGCTAATCTTTGCTGACCTGGAATCAGCAATTTGATTTGTTGCATTAACCCACATTGGCTAAGATCATGTGAATGCACTCAGATCACAGGAAAAATACATGATACCTGAGGAAAATATTTAAAAGACAAATGAGAAAGCAATGAATTAACATTAAAAGAGGGTTTGTGTGATTAAAGCACTAATATTTAACATTAATAGTGCATTTATTTGCTCCTTGAGGGCAAGGACCATGTTCACTCATCTTTATAGTCCCCTAGTTACACTTAGGGCCCAGATTGGCGCCTGGCACACGATATGGAAGGCAATCACTACTGAGCAAGCACACATCTTACTGGTTAGACCATTGTCACATATCCTCATGGGATTGCCATACCAGAATTAATTACTTCCAGTTGCCTGGCATACTTAAAAATAAGTTTGTAAAAGTTCAGTTAGTCTCTATATAATTGAGGTGAAATAAATACATAATAAAATAATAATTTGGTAGCATTCTATTCTATAATCTACAGCGTGCTGGCCCTAATCAAAGACTTTTGGGAAAGAAAAATAAAGATAGAAGAAAACAGATTCAAACCCAAAGCTTACAATACATGGAAGAATACAAGAAAAGTTATAAAACATCATAAAAGTAAAATCAATATAAAGGAATTGTAAATGCTGAGATCCACAAGGATAGGCAATAATCAGCCTTGAGACTCCACCCATTTCATCAATGCTTTTGTTAGAACACTTCCTGTAGTCATGAAATTGTTTGTATCCATGATTGTTACCATTCCTGCTAGTTTCTACAGGGCAACAATTATAAGAAATACATTAGATACTTTAAATAGTGTGAAATTAATGATGATTGAATACATGTATTAATTAGCAAATAAATGAATGAACAGCTATCAGTAAAATGTAGAAAGACACTCCTTAGATGATGGGAGATCCACTCATTAGGGCCTTGGCAATCATAGCATCCAGAGTGTCTACCCAGAAACACCAGCTCTCTGACATCACCTGCTTTGTGAATTTAAATTTTATTCATTAAAAAAACCAAAAAGTCAGAAAATAAAATGATGAACTAAAGAACCGTTAAAATGATCTTTTGTCCTTATATTATTTGCTTTCTTAACTTGAGGGAAATTCTCTTATTGTTTTTCTATTACATAAAATAAAACTACTAATAGAGTAAACAGCAGATGCAAAGCCCTGAAGCTGGCATCTGAAAGGCCAGGATGGCTGGAACAGAGAGAGTGAACAGAAACAAGTAGTGAGCATGAAGAATATCAAGCCTAGCAAGAGGTGCCATCATAAACTTGTGCATGGAGGAAGGGGCAAAATGTTTTGCCTGAAGAATTCAGGAAAGGTCTCCAAGAAGAAGGAATATTGAACTGTACCTTGAACAATGAATTGTAGACATTTCCCAGTAGGCCTAGATATTGGGGGAACAGGCATTGAGGAACATTCCAGTTGGGGGACACTGCATTGGCAAAGATATAATCTGTGAAAAAGCTTAAGATTTAGAGAAAATTGCAAAAAAATTGGAGAGTTTGGCAAGTACAGTTTTCATATAGAGAAAAAATGCGGGAAAAGAGATTTCTAGGTAGATCAACTTCAGGTTGCCAAGAGTATATTATGCCACATATCGGGTTCTGTATAGTAGGATGAACTGCGAGAAGTTCACCAATATTTGAAAGGAGAGAGCTCTCTAATAGTAGCTTGGAGGATGGATTGGAAATGGGGGTGAATGTAAGGGTGGCAATTACAGGAAAGAAAACCAACTAGGAGTTGATAGAATAATTAGGACTATACTTGTGGTAAGTCAAATTCTGAGTCAATATTATAGTAGGGTTCCAGATGAACAAGCATCTCACAGGGCCACTATTGCTTTCATGAACACCATGTTCTCTTTTGGAAGCATCCTTGAGGCTAGAGCTATTTCTTCATTTGCTTGTTTGCATATTTAATTTGAGAAGGGTGCATATGCCATCACAGTCAAGTTTCATTAAGTTCGGTTCAGTTGCTTCTAGTTTTGACCACAGATTTGAGAGGATCAGAAAGGCTTAAAGGAGAGGAAAGCAGAGAATTCTCCTGGCCCAGGAAAAGAGAAGAAATGAAGGGAGACTTAACTTTCCTTCCTTTCTTGGAATCCAACTCAACTTAACCTGACAGGCAAAAGACCAGGCCCTCAGAGCTGCAGCTTGGTCCACAAATAAAGATGGTTGGATTGTCCCAAGGACTATGTATTTTGGGATCTGGCCATGGAAGATTGGAGGGTTGGAATCTAGTACAGATAATGTAAGTCATATAAAGCTCCAAGAACATAGAGAAAATGTCCACTAAGTTTTAACACAGGCAGCTGGGGATACAGGGGCTATAAGACATTTCTCTGTCCTCAAGAAGTTCTCAGTCTAAGAGACCAGGCTTCTCTGAGGCTATATTGGTCATGGAATGTAAAGCTTGAGAATATAAGTCACATCTCATACATAGGTTTCTATTGTGTATGAAATCAAACAGCTCTCACTCAGTCTTGGACTTAATATGTGAGTCTCAACTCCAGAAATCTGTGATGATGGAAAGAGTTCCTTTTTTTCTTCTTCTTATATTTGTATATTAATTTGTTCATTTATTTAACAAGAGTAACTCCTTTTAATCGAATAAATTAAAATGAAGACAATGATAAATATCAGTGGGTTTTTTTTTGTTTTTTTTTTTAAGTGAACAATAAACATTTTTTTAATTAAAAGAAATAGAATAAAACTACTAGGGCTTTGAGTACTAGAAAATAACAAAGCCAAGACACTCTTTTAATTAGTTTAAACAAACTGTGTAATATGCACCACCTAGGGGAGGTGAGAGAGAGATAGGAAACACAACCAGTTCTTCAGAGATAAGCAGTTCAAGGAATTGGACCCCAAGGTAACCAAAAGGTCAGTAAATTTTGCCAGAAAGCTTTCTGTACTTGATGCTAAAACTCAAAGGTAATAAAGGAAAAGCAAGTCATTTTAACAAAGAACCAGTTTAATGCTTTATGTGTTCATCTCTTTATCTCTTTCTATAAAGTAATATTTTAAAATAATGGAAAGTCAATGTTTTATAATATTAGTTGTTTCCAAAATGATTTAAATAAAGGAGCCACCTGGATGTGTTTTATTTTTATATTAGCCCAAAATCATTATTTTAAAGTCAAAGGAAATACATGAGATGAGGGTAAGAAAGGCATAGGTTAGGCATCTGATGAATATTTTACAGTTAGTTCTTGACTGCTTCCTGTGTGACAAAGAGAAGGCCAAAGTTGTAGTTGGAATGCCACATGAGGAAAAGAATTCTCTCAGAACATAAAACTGTCATATGCAAGATTACTGTATAATGAAGACTGACACTACAATTAAAGTAATTTTCTTCATTTTAGTTTTCTAAGTTCATCTCTTCAACGTTTACAATATGTCAGACATCACTCAAATGGTCAAATATTTAAACTCATGCCTTACTAAGTTATGCCATTCGATATTACAGGCTGACACCTCCAGCTGTTAAATAATTAGGTTGAAAGAAGCACAAAGATAGGTTACTAGGAGTGAAAATTGGATGGCTCTTCCAAAATGTGATGCTGAAATCTCACCCAGTAAGTACAAAATAGAATTTTTTAAAATTAAAAGTAATGTATATTTGCAGTACTAATTGTTAAAAGAATGATAACATAGTGAAATAGAAGTAAGAACAGAAACAACTAGCAAGTTTCAAGGGCTTAACTCTGTCTATATATTTATAATTGATATATTCTACTTCATTACTTTATTAAATATTTTAGATATATAAAACTAAAATAATTCTTTAACAAATCTTAGCTTCAGAAATATGACATTTCTAGTGCCACAATCATGCTCTTCCCTCTCCACCAAAGATAACCACTACTTTGAATTTAATATTAATTATTCTCATATATGGATTTATGATCTTATACATATGTACATATCTATAATATAAATATATGTAATACTGCTTTACATATTTTTAAACTTTATATGTATATATGACATTTTATGCATCCTTCTGCATATAGTTTCTTTTTCATTCAAACTTGTATTTGTGAGACTCATCCAATTTACTTCATACATTTTCACTGTGATTGTGTGAATATACTATTCTACAACTTACCTATTTAGCTAGAGAGGAAATTTTATAACCTACACTGTTAAGAACATCCTTGGACATGTCTTCTTGTACATACATAAACAAGCCTCTCAGGCATACAACTACTAGCAGAATTGCTGAGTTGTAGGTTATATGCATTTTCTGTTGTATAGATAACATCAAATAGTTGCCCCAGTTTACCAGAATGGATAAAAGTATCTGTGGTTTCCCAAATATGCCATTTAGTATATTTTTAACATATTTCAATTCTTTTATAGGTTATCATTATGCCTGACATCAGAGCTTCTTCCCAGCATGGCATGTGACAGGTAATAACCCTTTGCTTCATAAACTGAACATCACTCCCCAGAGTCAGGAACCAGCAAACCAGCAAATAATTTTCCTATCCCTCATCCATAAAAAGCTTGCAATCAAAAGGAACAACAGTCCTAAACAACAACCAAAATATACAACCTATCATACAGTAAATAAAATGACAATAATAGCCATTATTTTCTTGGGGCAATTATTTGCTAAGCACAGTCATAATTACTTAATTTGCATTATTCTATTTAGTCCTTGGAATAAGGCTGGCGGTAAAGGTATTATTATCCTTGCATTGTTCAGGAAAAAATTCAGAAATTGAATGAGAGTTTCTGTTACTTACCCAAGGCAACACAGCTAGTAAATGACACTCAGAAAACTAAATTAGTCATGCTCCAAAGCCAGGGCTTTCTCTGCTATACCCTAGAAGTGGGCTGCAGGTTAGAACTCTGAAGCACTTACTACAACAATCTATAAAGTACTGTGAAGAGCAGGTGGCTTTAATTAACTTCACTTATTTGGGGATTATTGAATGCACCTGTGGGACTTTCCAACTTCCTGTTCTTGCTTTGTTTAGATGGAAAAAAATTAGTACTCCTCAGGATTTCCAGACAAGAAGAGAAGAGACCAGAATATAAAATTACCTAGTTAAAATAAAAACTTAATCAATTGTATTAAATATTCACAATACTGCTACAAGCTGCAGTAGAGGGTAAACAATTAGGTAAAATGAATTTGAGCTATTATCTGTAGATTTAACTTATTTATAATATCCCTCTCACAGTTACTTAGCTATCTCAACTGCTCAATCAGCACCTTAGGCCTTGCTTGATATTAAAGGGGAAACATTTCAAAGCTCTTAAGGAGAATGAATTCAGCAGAATTAAAGTCATTCTCTTGCAAACTCCATTCTGCTAGATGGTGTCAGTTGCATCTGTCCTATGAAAAGAATTTTAAGAAACGGGTCACATAGGCAACTACAAGCAAAGAGGGCCAAAGGAACTTCCTAATAACACGGAGAGACAGAACAAAGCACGGCACAGGAGACACTGATTTTAAGGAGTAACAACAGTAGAAAAATTGAACAATCAGAGGTATGATGGCAACAGTGTAAAGACAGAAACCTGAGGGGTTGAAAAGGGATGGAAAACATACATTCTCATTTTGAGGGTAGCCACACAATGACCAAAGCAGCACTTTCAAAGTTACTTTCAATATCATGCATATAAGTGTTTGAGATATGTTGGGCCTCATGCTCCATTAACAAAGTAAGAAATAACTCAAATTCTATCAAAGCACCTTCTCAGCTTGGAAAAGACAAAATTTGACGGATGCGATTGATGCACATAGATGCAAAAATCCTCAACAAAATCCTAACAAACTGAGTTGAAAGGATGTTGAAAGGATCACATTGAAAGGATGACCCACTATGATCAATTGGAACTTATTGCAGGGATGCAAGAATGATTTAACAAGCACAAAACTATAAATGTGATGTACCACATTAACAGAATGAGGAAGAAAAATCATATGATCATCTTATTAGATGCACAAAAATAATTTGACAAAATTCAACATCCTTTCATGATGAACACTCTCAATAAATTAGATATAGAAAGAATATACTTCAACCCAATAAAGGCCACACATTAGAAGCTAACATTATACTCATCACTGAAAAGTTGAAAGTTTCTCTATAGTCAGGAACAAGATAAAGATGCCCACTTTCATCACTTCTATTCAATATAATACTGGAAGTCCTTGCCAGAGCACTTAGGCAAGAAATAAAAAGGATGCAAATAAGGAAGAAAGTTGTGAAATTGTTGCTAATTGCTAATGACCTGATTTTATAGCAGAAAACCCTAAAGCCTTCACCAGAAAAACTATTAGAACTAATTAACAAATACAGTAAAGTTGCTAGATACAAAACCAATGCACAAAAATCAGTATTGTTCCTATACAACAAACTGCCAACAAACTATCTAAAAAAGAAATCAAGAAAACAATCCCATTTACAATAGCTACAAAACAAACAAACAAACAAAAACCAAAACAAATCTTAGGAATAGATTTAACGAGGAGGTGAAAGATCTGTATATTAAAACTATAAAACACTGATGAAGGAAATTGAAGAAGATACAAATAAATGGAATGATAGTCTGTGTTCATGAGTTAGAATAATTAATATTGTTAAAATGTCTATACTGCCCAAAGTGATCTACTGATTCAATGCAATCCCTATCAAAATACCAATGATATATTTCACAGAAATAGAAAAAAAATCCTAAAATTCATATAGAACTCCCCCCAAAAAACTAAATAGGATAATCTTGATCAAAAAGAACAAAGCTAGAGGCATCACACTGCCTCACTTCAAACTACATTATAAACTATATTAATTAAAACACATAGTACTGGAATAAAAATAGACACATTAAACAATGGAACATAATAGAAAGCCTAGGAATGAACCCACACATTATGGTCAATTGATTTTTGACAAAGATGCCAAGAACATACAATAGGGAAAGGATAGTCTCTTCAACAAAGAGTGTTAGGAAAACAAGATATCTGTATGTAAAAGAAGGAAACTGGACCATTATCTCACACCATATACAAAAATCAACTCTGTACAGCAAAAGAAACTATTAACAGAGTTGAGAGACATTGTACACATTGGGAGAAAATATTTTTAATCCATATATCTGATAAGGAGTTAATATTTGAAATGTATTAATATAAGAAAGAATTCAATACCTAGAAAACCACCTGATTTAAAAAGGGCAAAGGACTTGAACAGATATTTCTCTGAAGAATACATACAAATGGCCAACAGATACATGAGAAAATGCTCAATGTTACTAATTATAAAGAAATGAAAGTTAAAACCACAAGGAGATATCCTCTCATACCTGTCAGAATGATTATTATTAAAAAGATAAAAAATAACAAGTGTTAATGAGGATGTAGAGAAAAAGGAACATTCATGTACTGTTGGTGGGAATATAAATTTATACAGCCAATATGGAAAATGTATGGAAGTTCCTCAAAATGCCAAAAAAGAATTAACACATAATCCAGCTATTCCACGTCTGGGTATATAATCCACAGATTTAAAATCGGCATGTTGAAGAGTTATTTGCACTCTTATATTTATTGCAGCATTATTTACAGCGGTCAAGTTATGGAATCAACTTATGTGCCCATCAAGAGATAAATAGATAAAGAAAATGTGGTATATACATGCAATGCAATACTTCTCAGCCTTAGAAAAGAAGGAACTTCTGTCATTTCCAACATAGATGAACCAGGAGCACATTAGCCAGGTACAGAAAGACAAATACCCACATGTTCTCACTGATATGTGGAATCTAAAACAAACAAACTCAGAAGTAGAGAGGAGAATGGTGGTTACCAGAGTCTAGGGCTTGGGGAGAATTGGGATACGTTGATCAAAGGATACAAAGTTTCAGTTAGACTGGAGGAATAAATATAAGCATTTGAGATGACTGATATGTTAATTAGCTTGATTAAATCATTCCACACTGTATGCATATATCATAACATCACTTTGTACCCCATAGGTATATATGACATTAATTTATCAATATAAAAATATTAAAACATTTAGAAAAAGAAAATTCAAGGGATATGAAATTAGCTGTTTTCAAATATATATTTGTTTGTGTTTTTTTGTGCTACACCATGTCAGAAAACTAAGATCAACGGATCTAGGTCCAGTGCCTTCCCCCCATATCCCCCCAAAATGCTAATAGACAAAGGTCTTAAAGACACATGGGTGCCTCCAAATGTCATGGTAGGTGTAAAACATAGTAGAAATGTTCAATGTTCATATACTAAGGTTGAGCTTCTCCAATCACACCCAGCTAAACAGCATAGTTATTCACAAAGCTTTAGAGTTCAATGTATTGGGCTTATACTCATTCAGCTCAATCTCCTATTATCTATGTGACTTTTGAAAAATTATTCAATCTCCTTACAACACAGATTCCTCATCAGTAAAATGAAGATAATAATAGTATCTATCTGACAGATTCATTATAAGTTTTAAAGCATTTAAAGAAGTGCCTGTTACATAATAAGTAATATATTTGGGGAACAACAATAATATAGCTCATTATTATATTATAAATCATAGCTAAAATAATAATATTTATGATGATGACTAAAGTTCATTAGAATAAGTGGTATAAGTTATCTATCTTATTCCATGAATTAATTGTGTACATTTAAAATTTCTATCTCCTTCCTGCTTATGACCAATCATTTCCCAATAGATATACTGCTTGGGAGCTGAATTGAGAACTTTTCCAAAGGGATCACTTGCAGGCTTGGTTTCACTATCTTACTAACAATCATTAAACCCTAGAAATTATCTTATAAATCTTGTGTCCACTTTTATTGGGATTCTCTGATAGTAACAGATAATACATAGAACAATAAAAAGGTGGGTTTGGGGATATAGTTATAACAAGAATAAAATTATCTCCCTCCAACCATGTTACATAGCATTACAAGAGTCAATATGTAATTATATTAGACATTTTAATATGTCAAGAGAAAGAACAATTGATAGTCTTTTTGCTCTGACATTTTTATTTAAATAAATCTAAATTATCATTCCCAATACATACTCAGAGCATAATCATAATTGAACAAAATTCAGTTATTCAAGTCAATATATTCTAATATATTCAATACATGTTAACTACAGGCTAAATATTTTCATTTTGTTTGTTTCAACTACCTTTTCCTAGTTCCCATCAGCACCTATAAACCAACACCTTATGGCCTGCTAAATGAGCCTCAAAAAGCTGCTCTGAATAATTGACATAATTACAGAAATGGAAATGTGCTTAAAATCTGAGTTACTGCTGTCAGTAAATATGCTTAAATGCAAACAAAATCTATGCATACCCATACTGTGTGACATACTGATTGTCAGAAATAGTTTTTTTCAAATCTCAGCTTAATCTAAAATGCA